ATATTAGGAGAACGCCTAGCCTGTGAGCGGCAAAACTTCATATTTCATCACCTTCCGTCCTGTCTCTTGCTCCCCGGACCGTGGTCCCTCGCCTCAGCTGCCTTCTTCTTCTACCGCCAGTTATCTTCCTGCCACCGTCAGTCGTCACACCCCTGCTCTGCTCTCTCAAGCAGCAAGCGAGATTAGGAATTTTGATCAGTCCGTAGGACGTATACGGCACCCTTAAAATGCGTGCTCGGGCTATGGCGCAAATCTCCAGGAAAAAAAGATTTTTGAAAATAGTTACGTGTTTAAAGGACAAGAGGTGCGGTATGCTAGCATAGATTGGTATGATAAAAAATGCGCATCAGTAGTCTTCTTCTCAGAATGAGGAGAGAAGGCCTGGCATGTCAGAGGTTTCCGCCCGGCATTACCAGGTCGAGTACACAAGCTGCTACGGTCGTTGTTAGCCGCGTGCGCAATATCTCGCCAGAGGCTTATTAATTTTGAGAGGAATATGCATTAATATGCGTTTATTGGATATTCAGCATACGATTGCTGTAAGAAATTCTTATGCAGTAGTACCTGGCGTTATATAATTGGAGCACGCCCTAGCTGTGGGGCGGCAAACTTCTACTTTCATCATCTGCATCCTGGCTTGCTTGCCTCCGTGTGCCCGCTCAGCTTACTGCTTCTTCGTACTGCGCATTATCTTCCATCTCTTTCAGCTCGCAGACTACTCTTGTCATCGCTCAAGAGCTACCGCTTAATATTCATGAATGTTCATCGGTGCGTACTGCTCACGCCTACAAATCCGTATTGTCGCGTCAAACTAGCGAGTCGGCAATATCTTACTGAGCTTAAATAATTTTATAGCGAAAAATAGTGTATTTAAAGCTGAAGAAGCGAGTGGAAAGTGGGTCTGCCATAGATTTTGTATGACATAAAAATGGCATCAAGGAGATTCTCTTAAAAGATATAGAAAATGCAGGACCCTTGCAGGTAAGCTCCCGCCGGCATATATCCATGCAAGTCAGTGACCAAGTCTGGCTACGGATTAGGGCCTGGTTAGGCGCTCCTTAGGCAATATCTACACCGCAGACTAATTAAGAAATATACATAGGCGTTATGATGTTGTAATTAGATGAGCATTTATTAGTTATTATTGAGGATATGACGCTTAGGGTAGCTACAAAGAGTAGATTTACGCGGTAATTAAACTCTACTATATAGCTTTTATTAGCCGTGCTGTTTATAGTTAGCGGAGAAATCACATAGGCCTGTGAGGAAAGTAGCAAAAAACTTCAAATAATAGTCCACATCATCACTTCCGTCTCTGTCTCTTGCCTTCCCGTGTCCTACGACTCTCAAGGTATACCTCCATTCCATGCTATCGCCCTGTTCATCTGCCTGCTCGCTGTCCGTACCGTGCAGGCCCTCACCACCCTCCTCTCGTGCTCGATCAGCAAGCAATATTACGTATTTTGATGTTCCCTAAGGCACCGCACCCAGCATTTATTTACAACACGATGAAGCGCTGAAGGATGAAGCGAGTAGGCGTGCGCGCACACCATACGATAAGTTCTTCAATATTTATCGCACCACGATTTTCTGAGGTCACGGGCGCACACCACAAAAGCGCGTCACATAAATCGGTTCAAAATCAACACATGTTGGTTCTGAACGATACCCCGATAAAAATAACAGATCGTCTAACAACTGACGCGCACGCTCACTCGTTTCATCGCATTTTTATCGGCTTATCTCTTCCATCGTGTAACAAATCAGAGTTGACTGTTAGCGTGGCCTTTACTGCACGCTAAAGACGGTGGCTCGGAGCCATGCGCAATATTCATCCCGAGAAAAAAAATTGCGAATTATGCCTTTAAAATGAACGAGGATATTCTAGCATTTGTAAATAGTAACAATCTAATCAGTACGACTTCCGTGCTAAGAAAGCAGGAATGAGAAGAAGCGTTGGGCACAGATGCTGCTTTAATATAAATCGAAGGTCCCCCGCATACCAGATCTCAAGTACGACACATTTGGGGCAGTGTGTGACTACTGATTCATTACATGTTAGTGTGTTGAATAGAGCGGCGCAATAATGCAGCACAGAGGAAGATTGTTTTGATAACATGATTTGAATATGTTAGGCGGATGATCTACAGGCATAGCACTCTACTGCTGAAAAAGTATCTTATCAGTGAGATCCAGTGTGTTATGGTCTATAAAAGTTAGCGCCTAGCCTGGGGCGCTGGCATAACTTCTTAGAGTCATCACCATTCCCTACCTGTCTCTTTGCCTCCCGTGTGGCAAGTATGTGGCCATCAGTATATGGGTGGAGCTAGTCACCTGTTGCCCGACTTCATCTTTTTTTGTCCCCTTCGCACGGACTCTACCCAATATCTACTGCTTCAGCCGAATCTTGCAGGAAGACTGTTAACTGTACCAGGCGTAGCGAGCTTACCGTGGTCCTGGCGTGAACGCGGGGGTTCGTATTGGCAATGTTGGCCATTGC